AAGCTGTTTAGTTTTATGATGTCCCTCTGTTGATTGATGGCATTGTTTTCTAAAGGACCAGAGGCCTATTGAGAAAGTTCCTTCCTGGGCCAGTGTGTTAAAGTGTTTTCCATACTTTCTCCTCCAATGTTTTACGTATCTCATTAAGGTCTTTGATCCAGTTAAAGTTATTTTTTGTGGAGGATGGGGGATACTCTTCCACATGTAAATGTCCAGATTTTCCTATCCTTGTTTGTTTATTGGGAAAAGCGACTCTTTAGTTCACATACCTCACGTCCATAGTTTAGGAGCACAGGTCAGAGAAAAGCTTTTATGCAGCTCAATCCAAAGAAATTCTTCAGATTTGAACTACTCTACCAGTTTTCCTCGAATCTTGTAAAATCTTTTTTGTGGAATCATAAGTTCTGTAGAGATCTACATATGTTTCAGGCTTGGCTCAGCCATGTCAGGCTTACAGGAAGCTGCACTGCCAGTGCCACAGTGAATGAGCCAGTAGTATGAAAATGTAGAGCTATCTGATACATTTCGCCAACACATAAACACCATAGCAGTCAAGATTCCTTACCCTGAGACCCACATTTAGTCTGTGGGACCACAACCAGGCAGGTCCCTCAAGGACTCAAGCTCCAAGGATGCCCAGGGCTGTACACCTTAATGACTAACATGATGCGGGTGGAGAATACCATGCTGTAACAGGTCAAGGACCCTCCTCCCTGCTCTACACTCAAACTGGGCCAACCTACAGTGTTCTCAGTGTCTGTCCCAATCCCTTCCCACCCTATCCCCAGCACTGCTTGCCTCTGTCCCCTCCTAAACCATACGATGGCTGAGAGACCAGCCATCACCCCTTCCCTAGCATTCTTGTTTTTATCTTAGGTGGTAAGAAGAACATTTATCTTCTTTTTTTAAAAAATTTTCCCCCAAATTACAGTATATCAGTGTTCAGTGATTTACTTTAAACAAAGTTTTCTGCATACCTGATTATTTTTTGTGTCCCCTGGAAATGGAGTAAACGTCATCTCATCACTGCCTTATACTAATAGTGTGAAACACTACTCCCTTCAATGTTTTCCTTGAATTACTCATTTTCAGATGCCTTGTTAAGAAGTTACTTGAGAAGCAGAATAGAATCTTGTTAAAATCCCTATAAGTATTACTAAATTAGGAACTTGAAGAGTCTTGCAGATGGCAGGGTTCTATAGCTTTGTTTACTTCCATCCAGGGTATCAGACAGTAGAATGCAGATGGATTCTTATCTGAAAAATAAATAGGCAAATTCTGTGAGTCTGCAATGAGGAAACCCACTTTTCTTATGGGTACCATTTCTTGAGTAATTACTTTCACCTTTACGATGAATAAGCAGTGTAGTTATGACCCGTGCTTTCCTGCAGTTGTTGGCACAGCTCCTCACAGTGCTTACCTAGGAATAAATGCCTTTTGTCATTTTACCGTACAACTTTTGATGTTTAGCAATCTTTTATGACCTAGTTTGTGTTGACTGGTCAACACAACCACCCCCCAGCCTGTTCTAGTGATTTTCAACAACAGCTTATGTTATCCCTAGGATGAAAATAATAATTATCAAAATCATCTGCAATTTTATAGAATGAGTCTCACAGCTTTATCATTTAATAAAACCCATTTCTAAT